TTGCGTCTATATTTTTGTTCAGTATACATTATATTACAGTCATTTGGGAGACGCTTTTGTCCAAAGTGGCTTACAGGAGCAGGAGCTATATCTCACCCAAAATGTTAACAAATGGCTAAAGCATGTTCAGTTGTATAGTACATGTGCTTTGGGATGTTTTTATTTATTTATTTATTTATTATCTTTATTTTATTTTTTTTTTAAATCAGACTGAAGTAAGAGCTGGCAAGGGCTTACTGAAGTGTACATGTAGAATACTGTGGAGCCAGAGCAGAGAATATACCAGTTATGATTAATATGTAGTCACACAGTTAAACTAAGACCCCTGGAAATACACAGAAACCTTTTTTCCAGCATTTTTCTTTTCCTTGACAACTGTGGTGTATTTTATTAGAAATGAAAAGGAAATCTAAGGCTGTGTCCCAGTTCAGGGGCTTTTGTCCTCTCAAGTCTACATTCCTACAGCGAGAACATCATATACTGGCCAACAAAGCCTTTTGCCTTTTTGAAAGGATGCTCCCAGTGTAGCAAGTGGAGCTTGTTTTGATCCAAGTTTGTAGGACACAGGCGCTGTGTCCTTTGCAGCCTTCAATATTCTCCTATCCACTGTGTTCTGGGCCATTGTTTAACTGAATGTTGAGGTGATCCAGATTGAATTGTAAGCATGTAAATGGCACTTACCTTAGTACAAAGCAATGCTCTCACTGCATATGTCTGTCTGTCCCTTAACCTATAACATATCTGCAGCTATGGAACATAAAAACCTAAACAAATTCTTTAACCAGCAATTATTGGGTTAGATTTTTATTCTTCTGCTTTGATCTGAGCTCATAGATGAGCCACTTCTTTTCAAGTGCATCTTTGTTCAGAAAATATAGACGTTCCCAGCTGTTAAGTTATCACATTGAATTTAAACACATTCTAATCATGGCCCCATCTCCCTCCACCACTGCTGGCCAAAAAATGTTTCTGTTTCTTTGATATGCAAAGATGATTTTTTTTTATTTTTTTTTATTTGAAAGCAGTGGATGCTCACATTAGGGGTCTGTTAGATCCATGCGGTCATCATTAGTAAAAAAAGAAGCGGCTTTTTAAAATGCTGGTTATGAAAGGATCAGCAATGGAAAGACAGCCTTTTAATCGGCGATAAGGCTCATTGTTTATATTCTGTGGAGAGAAGCACCAAAACAGATATATCATTTTTACTGTCTGTCAGGCCGCACTATTCATTACAAATGGACTGCCTGCCAATAGATTATTCCCCTTCATTAAATATGCTGTAGTGCAGGGATACAATAGATACCACTAAATGCTTCATAAAATAAACGCTCACCGTGAAGTGGAGTTAATGCCTTTGATGATTATTTCATGAGTCAAATCAGGATAACAGTGTTTCTGCTCGTTTAGTGATTCTGGGCCTCTCGCAGCCCCGAGGAGGCTTCCATCAGTGGAAGACGTGAAGCTGGAGAGCTCTCAGTCTCGTTTTACTCCTCGTTTGGTGCAAATGATTCTTCTCCAGCTGACAAGTATCAGCAGCTCTGTCTCCTGCAGCATGATGGAGACGAGCTGTCAGGTCGGTGCCCTGCGCAGCCACAGAGTGATGTATTCATTTAATTTTATAGCGATGACATGCTGTACAGAGACAGCTGAACTGGCCAGCCGTACCCACACTGACTCTACCTCTCTACCTCTCTCTCTCTCTCTCTCTCTCTCTCTCTCTCTCTCTCTCTCTCTCTCTCTCTCTCTCTTTCACAGATACGTGTTGCTAAGTAAGCAGCGACTGCTCAGTGCGTGCAAATGCAATTTAACATTGTAGAAAAACACTTCCCTGTGATGCTTGTTAATTTACTGTGTGATAATTGTTTTTGTATTAACACAGTCTGCTGTGTGGGGGGCTGATGAGCCATCATTAGCTCTGTGGAAAGGTTTGAGCTCCTTTTACTGAACACATCAACCCCCCCCATCTCCTTTGTCTTTTCTCTTTCTTTTTCTTTATGGTGGAATCAGTCTGCTGATTTTATGCATTGCACCGCTGCCACATGAATGGCTGATTGGATAATTGCATGAATTAGCAGGTGTACGGGTGTTCCTAATAAAATGCTTGCTGAGAATAGGCTATATACTTCAATATGAAAGAGAGGCAGTTATCTCTCTCTCGTCCCCTCCCTCCTCCTCCTCCTATTGCAAGCGTTACAGAATATTTTTCAAAGACTGGTGAAGCAAGAGCTTGGTGTAAAACCACGATCACAGGGCTTTCCCTCTGCTTCTCAGTATTGATCAATGTGGGCTACAGGTCCAGCTGTCTATTGTCCATTGTCAACGATAGACAGCTGGACCTGTTTACAGACATTTCACCAACACGTTACCTGCAGTTTTGGTTAAATGAACATTTAAAATCCGCAGTAGTGTGAAGTGTACAATCTCACTGCAGCGTGACGTGACATCACAGCTCCAATCCCACAATGCTGTGGTCGGATTACCTGTGAAAAGGTATTGCCCCCCTACTGATATTACATTAGATTAGATTAGAAAGCCTTTATTGTCCGTGAGGGGCGATTTGGTTTGCAACGGTACTCAACACAAACAATCACCACAGCAATGGCGCGTCTTTCATGTAGGGTAGGGTGGTTAGAGTACCGCTGTAGTCACCAAGGTACCATAGTTGCTGAGATCTGGGAACAGAGCCATGTTGCTAAAACGCTGTATGACAGGTCAGGAAAAACAAAATCATCTCAAATACAAACAAACCTCCATATTAGCCAAAGTTAGTGCATGGAAGAGAAAAACGAAAAATAAAATTATCCGCACTTCATGTAGTAAACATCCATCAGTTTACAGACTAGCCTCTCCATTCACCCTTAATTTGCTGTACTGTGCCTTACAGTAGCTGTGCACACAGTCTGTGCAATGAGGGATCGTTAGATAGTTTAGATAATCTAAACTGTTGTTTGGCTCGTTTCCAACCCATCTAATCGTCTGACTGCTCATGTTTCTTTTTTTTTGTAGTGATGTTGTCTCATTCAGAGATCTCAGCAATTCCTTTGGTGAATCCAGTGAAAGTGGTGGACTCTATCTCGTATGCAGAGGCTATACTGTAGCACTCACACTATCATATCATGTCCTTGAGCTGTAGATAAGGTATCTTAGTTCTCGTGTATACCTGAAAATCATGTCCTGATATTTTATCCTACAGTACGGTGTGTTTGAGCTCTTACGGGTTTGGCGTGTTGTGTTTTCTTATGAGTTTTTCTCAGTTTCATTCGTTTCCCAAATAGAAAGATGGATAAATCTGCTGCCCCACAGCCTTGATTGATATTCTGTGGAGTGGGTCCACTCTCCCTTCCCATAAATATGCATGAGAGCTGTTGAGCTTTGGTATTGAATGGGCTTGATCCCTGTGTGTGTGTGTGGGTGTGTTTGTATGTGTGTTTTTGTGCCTGAATATGTTGGGACAGGTGAAGTTCTAGCAAGGTTCTGTATGAATGTATGTGTTAGAGGTGTGTTCACCGTATACAGTACATTTTGTGTGTGCGCTGGGGGTCCAGTGGTTCCAGTGTTGGGGGTCATTTGCAGCTGCAGGGGGGCTGAAATGTCATGACTGTTTGCCTGCGGCGCTCGGGCTGCAGCTGTCTGCGGCTGGCTGGCTCTTACTTCGGCGTGGCTGATGAGGGTGGAGAACAAGAGCGCACGCGGTGCGGAGACGAGCTGCAGGTCGAACGCCTGCAGTCATACCACAAAGTGAGGATGGTGGGTGAAACTGAGACAGAAATATCTCTGAAAGCTCGCACTGAGCAGTCACCTCAGTTGTTGTTTGTTCAAGCATCATCTTCCTCGTGTGTACACGTTGTTGTTATGTGTGTCGGCTGGGGAATTAAATTACAATGTGTGTTCAGAGGTTAGGATGATGGTGGCCCTTTTTTAATAAATATGGGATCAACAAATCATTGTACTCTGCCAATTTGACTGTGTGTTTTACCAGACCACAGCGACAGGGGGATTGCCTGTGAGACTAAATGACATTTAATTTTCATAGTTTAATAACTAGCTTTTTATTGTGTAAATATATTGTTGTGTTAAACAGAGACAGCAGTGAAACCCCAAGATGATGTTGGATATTTGAATGGTTAGTCTGTCTAAAAAATTGGCCCAGACTTTTATGAAATTTTGTATCAATATTCACGATCCCCAGAGGATAATTTTACTGATACAATCAGCTCAATTTGCCCTTGAAGAACTGTCCTGTTGATGATATGTGTCTGGAAAACAAAACTGCCGGATTTTGAATAGACTTTGTGGATCAGACTGATTTTAGTGATCTCCTTCTACACAACAGTCGCATTTTATTCACTAACCCCGCTCCAGAGAGAAAGAAGCCTTTCAACATTGGATACTCTGAACTTTAACTAAGCGCCCCCTTCGGGTCAAGTTGTTAACTTTACTCAATAAGGGCCTAATAAACAGCGACTGAAAAATAATATCATCAGTGAAATTTTCAGCAGAACTTCAGTGTTTCATGTAGTTTTTTATTTATTATTTAGTCTTTTAAATATCAGAAATACTGTAAAGTAATTATTTAAAGTTCTCAGAGTCTTGGATGTCATCTTCAGATTGCTTGTTTTGTTCAACTTATAATAATATAAAACATAAAGAAGCAGCAACATTCACAATCGAGAAGATGGAACCAGCAAATGTTTATCATTTTTGCCTCATAAATGACTTTAAAGCATTGATCAGTTATTCAGATAGTGGGATTAGTTTTCTATTGATTGACAAATCAATCATCTAATTGTTTCATCACTGGGTCACTGATTATATAAAAGCCACTTCAGAAGCTTTCAAACTCATTCGGGAATAAATGTCATAAATACAGCTCACTAACCTGTTCTGTACAAAACCTCGTACCCATAATGTTTTAGTCCTCCATGAGTTGAGATATTTCTTTACGCTGAACCAGTAGACCGAGTGTCTCTTAACCTCTGACCACCTCTCTTCCTCTGCAGTTACTTTGAGCTGGAGAGCAGCGGGGTGAGAGAGGAGATCCGCTACCACTACCGCTTCAAAGGCAAGCCGCGCTCCGAGTCCTTCCCCTACCGCCTCGCCGATGGACAGTGGCACAAGATCGCCCTCACCATCAGCGCCTCCCACCTACTGCTGCACGTCGACTGTAACAGGTAACGCACACAGACGCGTCCACATGGAACACCTCGATAAATCCGTCATAAGTGGCTGGGTCGCTGTATTTTTACCATGCTCCTGAAGTCACGCCGCTAATGAGCTGTCAGTGTTTATCAAGGTAAATATTTGTTTGCTACTGTCTCAGTGTGGATGACAGGCTGTTAACTGACAATGAAACATCCAAGGACAAATTAACACACACAGTGTAAGAGAAAGGCTGTGTCTTTATATAGCCTGGAGGATGTGTGTTCAGCTCACACTGTTCCATAATGAAGTGGAAAGTAACAATGATATAATCGCATCATCGATTGGGTAATGAAGGCACTTTTCTGAAGGAGCACTCAGTCAGAGTTGATCTATAAACATGCACCTCAGCTGTGACAGTCCCTCTCGACCCTCACACTCCCTCCTGAGAGCCAGGAAGACATTACTTGTCCTTTTCTTAATGTAGCTGCTAGACAGACGCGCTGTGAACAAGCGGTGTAAATTTGACTCGAGGTAATGCTTTGTCACCTCTCATGGATGAAAAGCTGTATGATGCATGAGGAGGGGTGGGGTTGCGTTGTAGTATTGATTCTTCCAAGGCACCTATTATTCCCATTAGGCCGGTGGTTTGTCGATTAATTATGGCTGAAGTGGCCGTGTGTCAGATGAGAAAGCAGTGACGATAAAAGAGATGGAGAGCACATGAAAATGGAATCAAAACTTTTTATGCACTTACAGTTCTTTGGCTGAGAGCTGAGTTAATTGAGACGGTTACAGTGAATGGGTTGGTTTGATACCATTTGTCATCTGATGGTGGCTGTGAGTGGTATGAAAGTGAAGGATGACACCAAGCTAGACTCTTACATTCTGCCTTATAAACATATTTATTGAGTCATTTCCCTTCTCTGACCAGTACTGTGTGGTGTTGCTTGCATGAAACAGCTCTGCCCATGCTAACTCCAGTCATAATGCTGCTAATTCAATATTTGTTTTGCCCTCTGATAAACCGAGGCTTCACCACACACCAGCATCTGTTTAACAAATACCATTAAATCATTCCCCCAACCTGCAGCAGTCTTTAAACCTCTCCTCACTATTAAAGCATCGCTTTTAACAAGCAGCTGCTAAACAAATTAACTCGGCTTGACTCACCGGTTTGCCTCGATGTGAGAAGAACACACGACAAAAAGATTCATCAGCATTAAATCCATAAGTAGCGAAATCTCTAAAGCTTCACAAAGAACATGATCAAAGAACAGCGACTGTTGAAACTTCTCCCTGAGGTATTTCACCAGAATAACAATCCACAGCCGGGTGTCGTCTTTGCGCTGTTTGGCGCATTAGTGTTGTTCTTGTAGGACCCTGTATCTCCTTACTGCACTTTACTCTGAAATACGTTATACACCTCCACAGTAAAATACTATATAAATAAGAATGTACTTATCAGTATATTGAACTCTGTAAATAATATTAATGCTGCATACTATCTCTGTATTTAGCTAGTTAATGTTTTACTAATTTCTATATAATACAGCTACACTTTTCTGTAACAGGCGGTTGACAAGTGTTTAGGTAAAAATTTAAAATAAATCCAGCTCTTCATTGTTTGATCGTTAGTGCGTGCATCAATCAGGGAAGCCATTTTGAATGTTTCGCATTACAAAAACACATCCTGCTTCAGAGCTTTCCGCTAATTTCATCCTATAATACTTTGCAAAGTGTCTGTTAGACTTTTGAATCTGTAAAGAAAGTCTCAGTGTGAAGCTGTTGTGGCAGGAAGCTTTGGAGAGACTCTCAGCAGCTTGTAATGAAGTTCAGTAGCACTACAGAGGTGTTTTACACCTGCAAAATGTTGCTTAATCTCATTTAAAGCAACCGTTTCTTCAACCAGAACATTCGCCAAAACAAGCAATTCGTTTGGGAATCCTCAGTTTTTCTTGTGTTGCAATGCAATTCATTTGCTTATTCTCAATTAACAATACATGGCGAGGATGTGAAGGTGTTTATGTAAAGCTGCTCTGAAGCTTTTGTTGCAAGGTCAACGTGAGGCCGGTGAGAGTGTGAATTTAATCATGATTACCGAGCCCCCCTTGCCATAGATGTACGGGGTCGGACAGAAAGGTCAACCACTTCATCGGCTGCCGCACTCCGCGCTGATCACATGTTTACCCCTCTGCATTTCACCGTGACCCGCAGACGCACCAGCTGACACCACCTGCTTGCAAATCAGCTTACACATTGTCTTCAAAGTAGCAATCACAGCTCACGATACCTTTCATCAGAGAAACAAAACAGCAGCACTTTAGCCTGATGTGATGCTGTCCCCCCCCTCCCCATGCCACTTTGAGACGATGGTGGCAGATCAGCTGATGGTCAAAGTTTGTATTTAAACTCAGGTCCAACTGTTCTGGATGTTTGTTTAAAAACTTGGCTATGATGCAAAAGTGCAATGATGTCTGCTTCATGGGCTCATGTTCTTTACCTTAAGCTTAAGATTCTGCACAGTTGATACAAAAAGTTTCAAATATTCTAGGTTTGATTGCCTAAAGTGCTGAAATGAAAACCCATTAAACCAAACTATATTTACCGTCATTTGATGCTGACTTTTCAGTAGCGTGCAGCGATATAGCTTGTAATGAGATGCTTTTGTACAGCTGATAAACACTGCAGTGAGCAGAATATATCCAGAATTACCAATCACACTTTCCCAGAGGGCACTAATGAGGATAGTTTATACGAGGACTGGATTTAGGTTGGTTACAAAGGGAAGCAGTTGCCATTTTCTTTTTTTGATTTGCATTCTGATTATAGTTATTAAGGTCTCAGTGTGACTGTGTATTTATTCACAAAAACCTTCTTTTTTAAGATTTTCTGTCGAGGATTAATGCTGATGAAGTCATCCAACAAAAAAAGTCTGAATTAGAAATCCAATTTTTTCCTCCTAGTTGTTCTCTCACCACTTTGACAACAACTAAGTAAATTTGGTTTTGATGACAACTTTGTGCAAGGAATAAAAACATAAAACCAGAGAAGAAGAATTAGAATATCATATCCCTGATAACGTGATCATCTCACTCTTAAGTGCGGGGAATGATTTTTCCATTCAAAGCAAATTGGCAGACCCAATAGCCTTGAAATTCAGAGCAATTTGATTTGTGTACTAAACAGTACTTTATTGATTTCAAGGCTCATTAAATGGTTTTAAGCATCTATAAATGTGAGAGAGGGCAGTTAATCCTCACGTCTTCAGGTGAACTTTTACCACGTAGGTTCTTTGGCCTTCACAGCTCCTGTTTTATTGATGCCTAAACTGTGACATACACAGAGAGCAGTCCGGCCCTCTGGGCTCATTCAAATGCAGCGTAAGCAAGGCCAGTGGTTATGATGCAAAGACTAACAGGTTGACAATAATCCACAAGTCAATATTATCATATTAAAGGAATATTTCAACATTTTGGGAAATATAAATAAAAATAAGATCAGTACCACTCTCACATCTGCCTGTTGAGTGTCTTAGCTTAGCATAACAGCTCGACACAGGGAGAAGCAGCTTCCCTCTTTCAGATGCTATGCCGGAAACTTGTCGATTTTACGCTTATTAAGCGTTAATTAGTGATTTGTCGGTTTTGTTACTTTCAGACAAAGCCAGGCTGTAAACAGGCAACTGCTCACTAACACGTTTAGCCATAACGACATTATGATAATTGATAGCTAGCTTGTTGTGGAGTTATTGTGCCCCCTAGTGTCCCTAAAATGCAGTTAAAAAAAAAAACTAACAGCAACAACATTTTGCAATGAGAAAAGGTGTCTTAGAAGTCAGTAAAAGATCCTTTGTGCATATTCAACATGTCAGCTAAATGAATGATGATGGTGGAAACTGATGATTAATTTGTAGGCTCATTTTAGGTCAGTTGTTATTTGGTATTTTCAGCAGCTACAATGTCTGATAGAAGGAAATGTTTGAGCAGTTAAAAGCATCATGAAAAACATGTTTGTAAGTTTCTCAGAATGAAAAAGTGGAGGAATCTTTCTGGAGCAACCTACAAAACAAAACATGATCACACAGCAGGATGCGATATGGGAGGTTTGGTTAACACTAACATTTTTTCTTAATTGGAAAAACTCCCCCCCCCCCCCCCCCCCCCCCCCCCCCCCCACTTCAGTCTCCCAGACCAAGTAAGTGCATCCCTTCTTTGGAGGCATTCTGGGAAATTACATCACTTTCCTGTGCTATCATTTAATTCTCCTACTTTTGCTCCTACAAATAGGCTTAAAGTAATCATTCCAGACACTGTAATGAATTCAGTCACTAACTACTTAAATGTCTTTGACCCACGTTGCTCATCATCATCATCATCATCATTATTGAATGAATTGAATGTTCCCTTTATCCCCCATCTATATTTCACACCTTTTACCCATCGGGGAAATAGAATTGCTCATCAGTGCTCTATACTTTACAGACAGCCCTCCATTTCTGAAGTCTGACAGATCTTTGGAGTCTACAATTTTTTTTCTTAACAGGCAACGTGATTAATTATTCAACACATTCATTGGAGTTATACTAACCAGAAAAACATTTGCTGCCACAGTAACAGAGGATTTCAAATTTGTTGCTGTTTGCGCATATGACACGGTAACATTATCCTCTATTTGACTAACTTGATCCGTTTGGATATCCCTGCCACACCTGTCTGTGTTTTTGACACTGTTGCTTACAAGAAGAAAATCCTCTGGCTTACTGCAGGGCAACGGCTTCAATTCGTACCTGTTTGACCGCAGCACGCGAGTCACTGTGTCCAAGTGAAGGACTTTTACCTTAGGTTAGGATTTAGACTTAATCTGAAGGTGGATCAGACACTGGAGAGTTCATGGAAATTCCCCCTGTGTCTGTTACCTCGTCTGTCCCTGTCTGAGATCGATGCAAAGAAAACATCACAGAAGTAAAGACATTTAGGCAACACACTGACGGAGCACAGAGAGGCAGTGTGTTGCCTTCAGCTGGGATCAA